TCTTGCATGGTTTGCCTGAGAAATAAATCTGACAAAGCTAAGACTTGGGGCCTGTTGGAATCCTTGCCCGTACCGGAAAAACCTTGGAGCATGATCTCAATGGATTTTATTGTCGAACTTCCACCATCTGAAGGATTTACCACTATCTTCGTAGTGATTGATCGCCTGTCGAAGATGGCTCACTTCATCCCCTTGAAAGGGACTCCATCTGCCACAGAAACTGCCTCCGTTTTCATTAAGGAAATCATAAGATTACACGGCGTTCCCCTGAATATTGTGTCTGATTGGGGAGTGCAGTTTACATCCAAATTCTGGAAAGCTCTGTGTGAGGCATTAGAGATCAGGTTACGCTTCTCATCTGCTTACCACCCACAGACAAATGGACAGATGGAAAGGACAAACCAAACTCTGGAGCAATACCTCCACTGCTTCTCCTATTCACAAGATGACTGGGCATCGTTCTTTCCATTAGCAGAATTCTCCTATAATAATTCCATCCATTCCGCTACAAAACAATCTCCTTTTTTCTCTAATTACGGATACCACCCCACCTTTCTTCCAGAAATACCAGTAGAGGCCGCTGTTCCGGCGGTACAAGAAAGGTTGGAGTTCCTCAGAAAGAATGGTGAGATTCTACAGAAGACAATGTCTGAAGCTCAGACGAGCAACAAAAATTTTTTTGATAGGAAAAGAGGAGGTAACTTGGAACTGAAACAAGGGGATAAAGTCTGGCTTTCCACAGCCAATCTGAAACTAAGTTGTCCGTCAAGGAAGCTTGGCCCAAGATATCTGGGAACATTTTCTATCAAAAGAAAGGTGAATCCTGTAGCCTTTGAATTAGAATTACCAAAAAACTTGAAGATTCACCCAGTATTCTATTGCTCCTTGTTGAAACGGCACATCCCAAATGGGTTTCCCAACCGGAACCTGGAGGCGCCTGCGCCATTGCTGGTCGAAGGGAATGAAGAGTATGAGGTTGAGGCTATCCTAAACTGTAGGAAAAGGGGCAGACAGACCCAGTTCCTCATCAAATGGAAAGTTTATGGACCTGAGGATAACTCTTGGGAACCATCCACTAATGTCCATGCTCCGCGGATTCTTCAAGCTTATCTCCGTCTTCACCCTGAGAAACGAGCCCTGGTGGGCATCCGGAGGCTGCCCCTAAGGGGGGGGGGGAAATGTAAGGGATTTCCAGCTAAGAGAAGATCGCCGCAGCGCATGAATCTGCGCATGCACAGGATCCCGAATAAGGCATACAGGCAGGCGGGCACTAGGACCCAGGCGCACCTGTCACCAATGACGGCTCTGGGCAGGCACTAGGACCCAGGCGCGCCTGTTGGCGCTGGGCGGGCTATTTAAAGAGCACCTCCGTGCTGATTCAGTGCTGACTGGTCTTCAGCTCCCCCCCCCCCCCCCCCGTGTCCTGTTTCCTTCTGAACGTTTCCTTGTTGTTGACCCGGCTTGCTCCTGACCCGACTCCGACTACTCTCCTGCTCCTGGTTCCTGACTCCGGGTCTGTTCTTGACTCTGGCTTCTCCTGCTGATTTTGTACCTCGCTGCTGTGTCCTGGCTACCTACATTGCCCTGCTGCACATCGGGTATTGCCCAGAACCTGCTCTGCCTGCTATTCCAGTAACCAAATCAGAGGATACTCTGCCTACCAAAGTCATCATCTGCAAGTGCCGCAAACAACCACCACTGGCGCTCTTGTCCCCCTGGTCCCTAGACTCTAAGCTCAGCAGGGTCAGTGTCAGGAATGGACTTGCCAATAGTGGTGGGACTCACCTGCCTTGTGGGCTGCAGTACCAGGGCTGGCCAGCGGGTGCTCTCAACAACCAGAGGTTCACTTCGGCAATTAGCCATCACCTGGGGCTGATTGCAGGTGTATTTAAGGGATGGCCAGACCTGCAGTCTGTGCCTTGGTGTGTGTTTTTCCATGGGCCCCTGTATCTTGTAACCTGCGTTCCTGTTCCTGTTTCTGCCTGACTTGTTGCTGACCCTGCCTGATCCTGACCTCTGCTGACTTCTCCTGTTTTGATCCCTGGCTTGTGACCCTGACCATTCTCTCCGCCTGCTCCTCCTGTACCTACCTGCCCGATAGTTATATCCCCTGCCTGCCTAACTACGTTGTGCTCTACATGTGTATGTACCTGTGTATCTGTATCAGTTTAGGTTTGGGTTTGTTCACCTTGTTGTATGTATTTGTGTTAGCTTGGGGTTTGGTGCACTGCGTTTATGTTTGTATTGTTAGTCTTTAATAAAGCGTCTTATTTATACCATATCTGAAGCTTGCGTTTCCCTGTGTCAGTCCACACACTTCTGGTCACACCTGCATCTCTGACATTACACCAAGGCCAAAAACCTGACCAGAAGTGGCTGCACAGGGAGGCCATCTTGGCTTATTGTTGCTGGGAAGGATGGATCTTGATGAGGTGGTGTATTTATCTTTGCTAGTGTTTGATGACAAAGACTATGCTTATCAGACTCTTAAGGAGTATACCCGGGATCAACTGCTAGAGTGTATAAGGATCGCTCATTGTCTAGTTGATCAGGGCACAGAGTTTTCTGAGGTGCAGCCATTGATCCAGGTTTGTGCTGAGTTGGCTCGGTCCTGTACCCCTGAAAGCAGGGATGACTTTTTTCCCCCATTTAGTGTGGATCAAGTGGAATCACTGGTATGGTTGTTGGAGGATGATCCAGATTGTTTCCATGAGCACTATGCAGCATGTCCATCACATGTGCTTATGGATTGCATAAACGCAGTGCAGTCTTTGATCAGACAGGCTAGGTGTAAGCTGAGTTTTGTTAAACCAGTACTGCAGACATGGACAGATTTGTTACACCCAGCCTCAGTTGGCTTGCAACATCATTCCTCTGCTCAAAGCACTCTTCCTGCATCCCCGACAGCACCCCCAGTGATAGTATACTCTGCTAACTACCACATACCAGTCCCCTGCTCCCACTCGCTGCACCTATCCTTTCTTCAACCCTGTAAAGAAGTCCTCTGTAGCAACTGCTCCCTCCTCTGTTCCATCCTCCAACTCTTCTCTGTCTCCAGCTGCTCCATCCGTTTACAAACCTGCGCTTACTTACAGTGCTCCGGTAACTAAAACCAGGAAAAGGAAAGTTCTTTCCAACCAATACCATCCTGCCAGTATCCAAACCGGTCAGCCTCCCATCTGAGAACCTGCCTTCCGTGGTGCAGCCTGGTGCCTCGGCGCCCACAATTCAGCCTGATGTCTCTACCCAGCCTGATGTCTTTACCCAGCCTGATGTCTTTACTCAGCCTGATGCCTCTACCCAGCATGATGTCTCCATTCAGCCTGATGTCTCCATTCAGCCTGATGTCTCCATTCAGCCTGATGTCTCTACCCAGCATGATGTTTCTACCCAGCCTGATGAACTGATGCCCAGCCTGATGATCCTATTATGCCAGATGACTCGATGCCCGCTGTTCCGCCAGATGACTCGGTGCCCGCTGTCTTGCCAGTTGACTCGGAGCCCGCAGTCTTGCCAGACGACTCGGTGCCCGCTGTCTTGCCAGACGACTCGGTGCCCGCAGTCTTGCCAGACGACTCGATGCCCGCAGTCTTGCCAGACGACTCGGTGCCCGCAGTCTTGCCAGACGACTCGATGCCCGCTGTTCCGCCAGTTGACTCGGTGCCCGCAGTCTTGCCAGACGACTCGGTGCCCGCAGTCTTGCCAGACGACTCGATGCCCGCTGTTGCGCCAGTTGACTCGGTGCCTGCAGTCTTGCCAGACGACTCGGTGCCCGCAGTCTTGCCAGACGACTCGATGCCCGCAGTCTTGCCAGACGACTCGGTGCCCGCAGTCTTGCCAGATGACTTGATACCCGCTGTTCTGCCAGTTGACACGGTGCCCGCAGTCTTGCCAGACGACTCGGTGCCCCGCAGTCTTGCCAGATGACTCGATGCCCGCTGTTCCACCAGTTGACTCGGTGCCCGCAGTCTTGCCAGACGACTCGGTGCCCGCAGTCTTGCCAGAGGACTCTGTGCCCGCAGTCTTGCCAGACGACTCGGTGCCCGCAGTCTTGCCAGACGACTCGTTGCCCAGTTTTCCGCCAGTTGACTCGGTGCCCGCAGTCTTGCCAGACGACTCTGTGCCCGCAGTCTTGCCAGATGACTCTGTGCCCGCAGTCTTGCCAGACGACTCGGTGCCCGCAGTCTTGCCAGACGACTCAATGCCCGCTGTTCCGCCAGTTGACTCGGTGCCCGCAGTCTTGCCAGGCGACTCGATGCCCGCTGTTCCGCCAGTTCATTCGGTGCCCGCAGTCTTGCCAGACGACTCGGTGCCCGCAGTCTTGCCGGACGACTCGGTGCCCGCAGTCTTGCCAGACGACTCGATGCCCGCTGTTCCGCCAGTTGACTCGGTGCCCGCAGTCTTGCCAGATGACTCGGTGCCCACAGTCTTGCCAGACGACTCGATGCCCGCAGTCTTGCCAGACGACTCGGTGCCCGCAGTCTTGCCAGACGACTCGATGCCCCGCTGTTCCGCCAGTTGACTCGGTGCCCACAGTCTTGCCAGACGCCTCGGTGCCCGCAGTCTTGCCAGACGACTCGGTGCCCGCAGTCTTGCCAGACGACTCGGTGCCCGCAGTCTTGCCAGTTGACTCGGTGCCCGCAGTCTTGCCAGACGACTCGGTGCCCGCAGTCTTGCCAGACGACTCGGTGCCCGCAGTCTTGCCAGATGACTCGGTGCCCGCTGTTCCGCCAGTTGACTCAGAGCCCGCTGTTGGGCCGGTTGACTCAGAGCCCGCTGTTGTGCCTGGTGACTCGGGGCCCGCGGTCTTGCCAGATGACTCGGGGCCCGCGGTCTTGCCAGATGATTCGGAGCCCGCGGTCTTGCCAGATGACTCGGTGCCCGCAGTCTTGCCAGATGATTCGGAGCCCGCGGTCTTGCCAGATGACTCGGTGCCCCGCGGTCTTGCCAGATGACTCGGAGCCCGCGGTCTTGCCAGATGACTCGGTGCCCGCGGTCTTGCCAGATGACTTGGTGCCCGCAGTCTTGCCAGACGATCCAAGCCTGATGACCCAGTGCCCACTGTCATGCCTGGTGACTCGATGCCCGCTGTCGTGCCTGATGGCTCGATGCCCGCTGTCGAGCCAGACGATCCAATGCCTGATGACCCAGTGCCCGCTGTCATACCTGGTGACTCGGTGCCCACTGCCTTGCCAGATGACTCGGTGCCCGCTGTCGAGCCAGATGACCTGATGCCTGGTGACCCGATGCCCGCTGTCGTGCCTGGTGACCCGATGCCCGCTGTTGAGCCAGATGACCTGGTACCCCGCGGTCGAGCAAGACGATCCAATGTCTGATGACCCGGTGCCCGCTGTTGTGCCTGGTGGCCCGGTGCCTGCTGCCCTGCCTGGTGGCCCAGTGCCCTGCCCTGCCTGGTGGCCTGGTGCCCGCTGGCCGCCTGGGGGCCCGGTGCCCTCCGCTGCCTGGGGGCCCGGTGCCTGCCGCCCTGCCTGGTTGCCGGTGCCTGCTGCTCCGCCTGGTGCCCGGTGCCCCCCTGCCTGGGGGCCCGGTGCCCGCTGCTCCGCCTGGTGGCCCGGTGCCCGCCGCCCTGCCTGGGGGCCCGGTGCCTGCTGCCCTGCCTGGTGGCCCGGTGCCTGCTGCCCTGCCTGGTGGCCCGGTGCCCCGCTGCTCCGCCTGGTGGCCCGGTGCCCGCTGTTCCGCCTGGTGATCCGGCATCCAGCCCGATGTGCCTCCGTCCGGTGCCCAGCCCGACGTGCCTCCGTCCGGTGCCCAGCCCGAAGTGCCTCCGTCCAGTGTCCAGCCCGAAGTGCCTCCATCCGGTGTCCAGCCCGAAGTGCCTCCGTCCGGTGTCCAGCCCGAAGTGCCTCCGTCTGGTGCCCAGCCCGATGTGCCAGTCTTTGATATCCCGCCAGTCACCGGACCCGGGCGGTGGAACATTTTGCCCAGCTAGGACTGTTTGGAGCGTCCTGAGGCCGCTCCTTGAGGGGGGGTACTGTCAGGAATGGACTTGCCAATAGTGGTGGGACTCACCTGCCTTGTGGGCTGCAGTACCAGGGCTGGCCAGCGGGTGCTCTCAACAACCAGAGGTTCACTTCGGCAATTAGCCATCACCTGGGGCTGATTGCAGGTGTATTTAAGGGATGGCCAGACCTGCAGTCTGTGCCTTGGTGTGTGTTTTTCCATGGGCCCCTGTATCTTGTAACCTGCGTTCCTGTTCCTGTTTTGGCCTGACTTGTTCCTGACCTCTGCTGACTTCTCCTGTTTTGATCCCTGGCTTGTGACCCTGACCATTCTCTCCGCCTGCTGCTCCTCCTGTACCTACCTGCCCGATAGTTATCGATCTGGCCTGCCTGACTACGTTGTGCTCTACATGTGTATGTACCTGTGTATCTGTATCAGTTTAGGTTTGGGTTTGTTTCACCTTGTTGTATGTATTTGTGTTAGCTTGGGGTTTGGTGCACTGCGTTTATGTTTGTATTGTTAGTCTTTAATAAAGCGTCTTATTTATACCATATCTGAAGCTTGCGTTTCCCTGTGTCAGTCCACACACTTCTGGTCACACCTGCATCTCTGACAGTCAGGGATAGTGACACAAGTGAGGCCGACCTCGTCAATTCAGTCTCCGATCAGGTACGTGACACCCCTCTATCCTTTAAGACCTAGGTTTCAATAGTAATGCCTTAAAGACAGACTGTGAAGCAGGATGGAATAGAAGGCTTTGAGATAGCAGATGTGGTCTATTGGGAAGAGGCCAGGTGTCTTCTGAAAGACACGTGAGTTTGTACCAGGTTGTTCTGGGCTAGTTTGGTGCCAGAAAAATCACTGTCTTCCTCTCTCACTCTAATTTTTGGGACCAAGGGATAGCTAGAGCATCAAAGGCCAGAACTACAGAATCCCTTGTTCTGGATACAAACAGAGGTAGTTTGTTGTATATGGAGGCTACGATGTCCACATTTGAAGTCCTCCATTCTTGGTATAGCAGACTGAACACGTCTGGATAAAGGAAAATTCCTATAAACTCGTAGTAATAATAATAATAAAATAATTCCAAGTGGTGGCGGCTGAGTCACTCAACCTGCCAATTGTCCACTCCTGGGATAGAATTCACAGAAATCACTGGACAGTGAGTTTCTGTCCACAAAAGAATCTGGTTTGCTTTCAGGTGTAGTGCTTTTGGGGTAATGTAGTGCTTTATGAATAATGAATTATTAATGAATTGGACAGTGTCTGACTCCCGTATATAGTTATGACACAGTGCCTCCAGCCATTATGGCAAAATAACTTAATAATATTAAATAATACAGATACCTTGATAAAATATACCATGATCATGTAATTTTCTGGAATTCTTTTACCAATGTGATTTCTTACCAAATATACAAATATCGCCAATTTGATTAATAAATAAATAATTTTTTTATATACAAAAATATTTATATATATTTTAATACAAACTAATTTACTCGTGATTGGTATTTTCTACACACAGTCAAAGGAATAACCCACGATAAATTGCAATTAGGTCAGTCTTAAAATGTATACAATAGCAAAGTAAAATAACAAAACTCTTGATTTTTCAGCAATTTTCAAAATATTATATTTCGGTATTCAGTGTATTTTCCCACAACTCCCGTGGCCAAAGGGAGGCAGGAAACCTACGTCTGATATAATTAAAAAAACTGAAACACACTTCAACTGCGTCTAAAGAACAATGCGTTTTCAGCATATCAATATAGAGAAAAAAAATACAAGCTCTATTCTACAACCAATACAACCCGATAGAATAAATTAGCACTCAATCTCTCCCTCTACACCATCCAGTATCGATGGTTCAGCAAGATCTATACAATTCCGAAAGCAGTTTAAGCAGTTTATATCACCATGCACAGTACCAGCACACTACAGCTTAATAAAAATAGTTATAAAGTTCTAGTAATAACTTTGGTATGAATAAAAGTTATGATACTTTGGCCACAATATCTCACTACTCCCAGGGATAAAGGTCTTTGAGATTTTTGGATGGAACAGTAGGCAGGTAAAAAGTGTTGTTCTTACCAAGCAGCAGTCAATCCACTAGCAAAAGTGTGTGTAAGCAAAAATATCCATTTCAGCAGTCGAAAGTCTTCAAAAAGGGGTTTTCTGAGTAAACAAATGTTTTTCCAGCCAGCAAAAGTTCTCCTCTTTATAGTAAGACAATGTTTTTCTTTTCCTTTTTTAGCAAAAGTTTTTCTTCTTTAAAAAAAGGCTCTCCTTCTGTATAAATATTGTGGGGATCTATTGTCTGTTCGGTCCACCCATAGTAAATATTGATTGTCTTGTGGATTGGACGGTCAGAATACTGTTATTTTTAGATGTTCTTTTACCTGTCCACTAGAGGGAGACGAATTTCATGAATGAAGATTTTCTGCTGTCAGGAACACTTATGTGAAATTTAATTAGTGTTGCATCTAAGAAATATGTGTCATGCTGAAATATCAATGTAGCTTTCATAGATATCCTTCTTGATAAAGTCCATTGGTTTACGTTGGGGTTATACTTTATGAACCATTCTTATTAGATGAGAATTATACTTCTGCAGTTATCAATGATTATGAAGATATTTGCTATTAAGGAGAATATTCCCATAATTCATCATAGCACTTTTTCAGATGATGCACATGCGTTTTTTCAGTCCATAATAGAATATACCTCATATCTGTTTGCACTCTGATATGTAGTTACATATTGTTAGTTAGTCATTTTGTTTTAATATTTTTCAAACGATCCACCCATAATCACCATTCATACGTTAAGTTATTGGAAACTGGTTGATATTTGGTTAACACTTGATGTGATTTTGTAGTTGAGAAATTGATGTGATTTTATTCTTTGATCATATCAAGAAAATGAATGATCTACGTATATGTAGATATGTTTATGTCTGTTTAAAACCTCCATACAGCTGAGTATATTGCTTTGTTAAGGAGTTTTGGCTCTCACAGTTGAATGGAAGAATTTTACAGTCTGTGTAAACAACTGAGGATTGTAAATGTGGCTTGATCTATTCATTCTTGAGAGGGCCATTGTCTATGTAGCTCATTGGCAAACACTCAATTGATATCCTAGCAGATATTTGACGCTGTTGAGAATGAGTGTTAAAGTTCCTGACATTTTCATCTCCTTGTCCTGTTTCACAATTGCAAAAATTTATTGGAAGCTTTAACCTTTTGCCGCCCGGCCAAAGGCCGTTCGGCGGCCGGCAAAATCCCTCAGCGTTCCAGGTGGACGCCATATGGCGTCCTCCCAGGCATGCGCAGTTTGCGCGCCTGCAGAGCCGCGCAGCGGCGCGATCTGTCACCGGCCGTGTACCTCGGACACGGCCGATGACAGATCTGAGTAACGGCCCCGTTGCTGGTACCATGTGACCTGCTGTGACCAATCACAGCAGGTTACATGACAGTTGTATACAATGGATGGCTTCATTCATGCCATCCATTGTATACTAGTGTGTCTAGCTGTGACTGGTCACAGCGATCACATGCAAAAGCTGGGCCAATCACAGCACAGCTGTGTCATGTGATTAGCCGTGGCCAAATCACAGCTAAGCACAAAAAAAAAAAAACCCTGAATGAATCGATGTCATTCAGGTAAATGCTTGGTTATAGCAAAGTAATTCTGTGCTATAAGCAAATTGTGTAAAAAAAAAAAAAAAAAAAAAAAAAAATACTAATCACTTCCGCCAAGTAGTACAATGTTGTTAAAGTAACATTGTACTACTTTGGTCATAGTGAAATATGAAAAAAAAAAATCTTAAAAAAAAGAAAAAAAATTTAATAAAAAATTAAAAATAATAAAATATTTTTTAAAAAATTATATATATATATTTTTATACTGTCACCAGTCAGTGTCCCTGATCACTGCCATGCCAGTTATATGATGATGCTGTACTGCACTGGTGACAGTATGTAAAAAAAAAAATAGTGAAAATCATTTTTTTAATTTTCCGAAAAATTATGACAAAAAAATACAACTTCAAAAAACTCGCCATGCCTCTTATGAAGTATGTCGGACTGTCTACTTTGCAAAAAGTGGCCATTTGGGGGATATCTGTACTGTTCTGACATTCTTGGACCTTAGGAAATTAGATTGGCCGTCAGTACTTCAGGATTGATCAATATTCAGATATATATAAACCATAGTTTGTGAACTGTATAATTTTCCTACAAACTAAATAATACATCCTAATTTGGGTTATTTTCACCAAAGACATGTAGCAGAATACATCTCGGTCTAAATTTATGAAGAACAATTATTTATTTGAAAACTTTTAAACAGAAACAAAGAAAAACGTGGTTTTTTTTTCAAAATGTTGTTCGGTCTTTTTTTTTTAATTTAGCAAAAAATAAAAATCCCAGTGGTGATTAAATACCACCAAAAAAAAGCTCTAGTTGTGTGAAGAAAATGATAGAATTTTAGTTTGGGTACAATGTTGTATGACCGTACAATTGTCATTCAAAGTGTGAGAGCGCTGAAACCTGAAAAATGGCCTGGGCAGGAAGGGGGTAAAAGTGCTCTGTATTTAAATG